GGTATGCCCAACGACTACCGTATCCCTCTTCTCCGGTTGGTTAGACTCTATCCCGTCTATCCTAAGTCTACCACCCGTTAACCAAGTCTAACTTACATCTTCTTAAGACTTATACCTTCTCTTCACTTATATCACATAGACTGAGATTCACCATCATTCAACTATGTATTCATTATACTTCTTTCGTATTAAACTTTCTCTCAACTCGTGTTATGTTCCCTCGATGTATCTATAAGTTAGACGCCCTTTCTGTGCGTTCGCTTCTATTACCGCTACACTAGAAAGTCTAAACGTTCAGGATTTCAGTTTTAACCGACCGACGTTCTGATCGTGCGAATGTAAAGGAGTAGTCGCCCTCCATACAGAACGCAAAGATACCATTGGAGACTTAAGCTCTGTAAGTTTTTTTTATTAGAAATTTTCATTGAGAGGAAGGAATAGAGAATGAGTTGTGAAGGAGTTTAGCTGATAATAGCCCTCAGTTATACAAAGTTCATAAGGTGGATTTGCTCAACGATGTAACCTCGATGAACTCTATCCTTCAATTTGCTAATGAGAGCGAGCGTTCAGAGTGCTGGAAATGGATGAGTCTCTGGTAAGAGAGGATATTGAACAATGTGCTAGGCTGATCTGCCGGTTGAAAAATATAGTTGAACCGGTAAGTTAACTGCAATAGGTGTAATAATATGTAGTTATTTGTTATATAATTACAGCGGCTCCTTCAAGAACGCAAACTGAGGAAAATGTTGACCCAGATGCCCACCTTTTACTCTCTCTATCGTAGATGCAAAGAGTTTGCATCGTCAAGGTTGCTGAATATGATTGAGTCATATCCTCTTTTGGTCGAAGAAAAGGTATTTCATTCTTTTGTTCATTCATTTATGAAGCTTTTTAAAGGAAAAGAAGAAGGTCTGTTGCAAAATGTCGGTTGCGCTGTGCATCTTTTTTCTTCTACAAGTTGGGACAACGTAGCGAGATCTTCTACAAGATTATGCTGAAAGATGTAAGTGACGCAATAGATCGTGTCTCGAATGGTCCCCCCCTGATAAAGTTCGATTCCAAAAACGGGCATTATCTATATGATGTAATGAACCCAGAGCTACCAATATCATTTTCAGCTCTGAGCCGGAGTGTAAATTATGCAAAGATACCATTGGAGACTCAGGCTCTGTAAGTTTTTTTTATTAAAAATTTTAGTACCGGTTTAGGACCTCACTGCCTTCCTTTGGGGCGTGAACTCCTTCGGAAGGAGACTATGTATTCACACAGAAGATGAGTTAACATGCAAGCAAAACCTATATTCCGCTGTGAAATCCATAGTTGCTTTTAATTCACGTTTAATGCCAAATCAACCGGCAAACACGTCCCTTTTCGCATGCGAGCATGTACTGCAATATTGTCCAGATAGGTATTACACGACAGACCAACCTATACTCCCAAATATGGATGAGTATGCCATTCAGATCCCCGGAGGAATTGCAAAAAAAAAAACTCATTTTTTTTACCATATATGCTTTGACATACTTTTGCCATTAATCCTAGGAGGTTTATTCATTCTCAATGGCTTCTCTCTCTGGCTTCTTCGTATTTTTGCTCATCATAACTGCAGCATGTGGATTTATGTACGTTTCTCTTTTCTTCTTTTTCTATATATATAAAAGGTTATCTCGGATTTTCCAGAGCGACTGAAGAGTCATGCCATACGTGTACGACAAACATAGGATTTCTCAAATCGGTAATTTCACATTTTTCCATTTTTATGTACTCATTTAGGACGCAAATACTCTTATTTGGGGAATCAACTCATTCTCAAAGAGATTCTGTAAATATACGAGAGATGAGGTCGCATGTCAAAGAGGTGTGGATGATGCAGCAGAATTTCTACGATTCTGCAATACGGAACTCTTCCGCTCAAACTTATGGGCTGCATTGATTAACACGAAAGTATGTTCATTGATGAAAACGCTAACTTCTTCCACTTCTTGTCGGAGAAGATATTCCAAGCAAATGCTACAAGCTCTTTAGCTTGTCAGCACTTGTTTCAGATGTGCGAAATCAGGTATTTTTGTTTTGTTTTTCCGATTTTTCAGCATCAAAAAACTGTCTCTCGTTTCTGTAAATGATCTATTCAGGACATCGGACAACAACATTCTGAAAGGCGGCGTTTGGAAATGCAGCTTTGTAAGTTCCACTTTTTGTTTTTTATTTAAATGTACTAATTTAGGGCACAACCTCACTTTTTTTGGCTTTGAGCTCATTTGCAACGGAGCTGTGTAATATAGCCGAAAACTACTGGACCTGTTCACATGGTATAGAAGCAGTTAGTGATCAATTCGAAGAATACAGCAAACGTCTGTTCCGATCGAACAGAAGCAGCTCTCTAACATGCACAAATGCACAGGCAGAAATTGGCCTATTTTGGGCAAAGAGAATTTGATCAAATTGGATCAGTAAGTTTCTCTTTCTTTTTTTTATTTCAATGTACTCATTCAGCGTGCTAACGCACTAATATGGGCAGTGAGCACGTTCTCGTCAGAACTATGTCGGCAGTCGGACAGTTACAGGAGTTGTCATAAAGCTGTGCTATCAGCAACTGACCTTTTTGAAGATGCAAGCAAACGTTTGTTCAGATCTAATACAACCAGCTCTTTAGCATGTGATCACTTTCTGCACATGTGTGATATTAGGTATTCTTACTTTATTTTTCCTGTTTCTTATCTAATAATAACTGTCTTATGTTTTTATAATTCAGTCATTCAGGAATGCCGAAGGTCTCTTAATAGAAAAAGGATCATGGCGATGCAGCACATGCCAGGAATTCAAATAATCATCTGCTGACACATTTCAAATAACTGGAATGTTTGGGGAGCTGATGAAGAAAAAGGTATGTCTTATTGCAATGTTTTTTTTATTAAACAAAAAATTTTCAGACAACTTCACACGTTCTCTGTCACCTCATGGGCTGCATTGAATGAGAGCGTTTGATCCTCTGTGCTATTCGATCTTGTAATTTTGTATCTTCTCTTCATATGTTGTATAATAGCTTTGTGTAAATTCTTGTAAATTGTATCTTAAAATAAATTTTTCTCTTATATGACACTTGTTCTCAAAGATTGGAAAGCAATTACTTTTTTAGCAAAATTCTTGATACAGCGAATAGCACTGCTGTGTCTGATACAAGAAAAATGCAAAAATATATTTAGCGCTCATTTTTTTTACCATATATGCTTTGACATACTTTTG